AATTAATTAAATTAAAAACTCACTTATTCACTATAGATACCAATTAAGTATTATTAAAATTAAATCTACTTATCAAAGTTGCTAAATATTTGCTGTAGTTATAAATAATAATTTAATTTATTAATTAAGCTAAAAAAAATTAAAAAATAATTATTAATTAATTAAAATATTAATTTAAATTAATTAAATTAAAACCCACTTACTGCTGCCAATCAACTATTATTAAAAAAATCTGAAAAAAAATTAAATTAAATTAAATTAATTTTACCATAATAGCTAATATTATAAGTAATAAATTAATCTAAAAAAAGCTATAAAAAAAATTAAATTAAAGAAATTAAAGCTACTTACCATAGTTATCAATTATTTGAAAACTAAAAAAAAAAATAATAAAAAAAATAATATTAAAATATAATTTAAATTAATTAAAATTACCACAGCTACCAATATATGTCACAGCTTTTAATAATAAATTTATTAAATTAACTATAAAAAAATTTAAATATTATTAAATAATAAATAATAAATAATTAAAAGTTAAAGTAAAGTATTTATTGCAATCATCAATGTTGATAAAGAAATCTAAAAAAAAAAAATTAATTAAATTAAAAAATAAAATTAATATTATTATAATAACTTACCATAGCTTCTACAGTTATAAATAAATAATTTAATTAAATTAATTATAAAAAAAATTTTTAAATAATAAATTTAATAAATAATAAACAAAAAATTTTAAATTAATAAATTAAAACCTGATCTTTTACTACAAATCACTTAAATAATTCTATAAAAAACAATTAATATTAAAGAAAAATAAATAAAAAAGAAAAATTAACATATTTATCATTTCAGTTACTGTCGTTAAGAATACAAATCCTAAAATAATAGAATTTAAAAAATAAATAAATAAACAATAAAAAAAATAAATAATAAATAAACAATAAATTAACTTATTATAGCCATTAGTAATTTATTAATCTATAAATATATATATATATTAAATTTAAATAAAAAAATAATCTTATAAAACTGCTTTACAAAATAGCCAGTTATTATTAAAAAAAAAAAAAAATAAATAAATTTTAAAAAATAAAAAATAAATAAATAAAATCCACTTACCAATAAATTTAATAATCATTAAAAAAAATTTAATGTTTTTATTCTAAAATAATATAATTTAAAAAATAAATAAATAAACAAATAAAATAAATTAAATTAACAAATAAATAATAAATTACTTATTATAACTGTTAATAATTTATTCAAGTTATAAAAAAAAAAATTAAAATAAATTTAATAAAAAAAATTAAATTCTAACTACTTATTACAAATAAAATCACTAATTAATATTAAAATAAATAAATAATAAATAAAAAAAATAAATATTATAGTTACTAATTGCTAATATCACAATTACTAACTAATCCTAAAATTTAGAATTTAAAAATTAATAATTCTAATTTATATACCTTTTGATATTTCTTTTTTTTATTTTGCCTCACTACTTCACTACTTTACTACCTTTTACTTATCTCACCACCTTCACTTCTCTTACTATCTTTCTTATTATCCCATTCCTCTTATCTTAATATTTACTTAATTAGACACAAAACTTAAAATAAATTAAAAAATATTTAATAAATAGCAAAAAAAAAAATTTAAAAAATATATTAAAAAAAAAATTACTTACTATAGCTGAAATTGGTAAAACTTACTTTTTTCAGTTTAAAGAAAGAAGTTTATAATAGTAAAAAAAGATTATCAATTTATTATTTAATAATTAATTTAAAATCTAAATCTAAATCTAAATTTAATATATTAGATCTGAATCTAAATCTGAATTTAAATCTAAAAAATCAAATCAGACCTGAATCTAAATTTAAATACAATCTAAATTTGATAGATCTAATTTAAATCTAATCTGTTAGATTTAAATTAAATTCAGGTTAATCTAAATTTATGTGAAACATTAGCTATAAGTAACTTTTTATAATGCTATAAAATAACTATTTTAATATAGTGAAAAGCAATTAGTATAAAATAGGATATTATCATATAAATCAACTAATAAAATTATAATTTCAATATTATTACATATTGATTTATTAATCAAATTAAAAATTTTTTAATATGTGATATTTAAAAATATCATATTATTTAAATAATAAAATCAAATTCCTAAAATCAAATTTAAAAAATCATTTTAATATTATTTACATAATTTATTATATTTCAATTATTAATTAATTACAATAGTGAATTTATAATTCAGAAATTCTTTTTGCAATTCTAATAAATTATTTATAATTAGATTGTATATTGTATTATTTATATTTTCATAATATATTTGCATTTACATTTGGACCTTTGCAATAGAAAGGGGAGAAATAGCTGGAAAAAATTAATTTTACTTTTATAAGCCAAATATGGATTTTTAGATCAAAATATAGATTTAGTATTAACTCGTTTTTTATTTTTCTAATCATTTCCTCCTTTTCTATTGCAAAGGTTTCATTTATCCTGAAGATAATATAAATATATTAAATATTTAAATTAACATCTTTAAAGGTAATAGCTATGATTAGGTAACGAGAACTGTTATTAAATCCAGAATAAGCTTAACTAAAAAAATATTGCAAAACTAATTAGAATCAACTCAATTATTGAACAGGCAGACAAAAGACCTTTACTTCATTCTGAACTAATTAAGTATTTGCTTTGCAAAGGCCAATCAGTATCAGACTCAATTAAATATTATTATTAAACAATTATTAGTCTAATTATATCATATAAAACAAATTTCTATAAGTAACAAAGCCGTATAGTGATGTCAATCTGTAATTTTATAATATAATAAAAGAAGTTTAAATATGTTAATACTATTTAACAAAATTTTAATTAGCCATTAAATTTATTTCCATTGTCTCGCTTTCTTTTCTATAAACTGCTTATAAATTGTTAACATAATCGCATTAAAATATGTAATAGTTATAACATTTTTTGCATTAAAATATTGTTAGTACTCTAAAGTTCATTATTAATAAGCTCACAAATCTTTGCTTTCATTTTAGTATAGTTCAACACAATATTCTTACTAAGTATTATGAATTTTTATTAGTGAATGATCAAGAGCAAATTAAAATATTTCATTTTAAAAAAATGTATCAGATTATAAAAACTGTATTATATTAAAAGAATAAATATTTATGTTCAAGTCAACTAATGGATTATCTTAAGCCCTTAGGTTATAGATTCCTATGTTCTGATTGGACAAACCTTGTGATCATGCTGATCACTTATTATTTAATAACGCATCCTTTCATCATTCTTTTCTTTCTTTATTATAAATAACTAAATATTTAACAATAGCAACCACTTATTATAATCATTACTTTGACAAGACTCTTGTTGAGGACTGATCAGTTCTTCACTTCTATAAATATTAAATTAATTCATATAGCAAGACTCCTGAACAACTATTTTATGCTAAGACTATGGATTCAATTATCAAAAATCTTCGTTTGATTATTCAATAGCATCCAGATCCTTTAAAAATCAAAAGAGCTAATGATCTTTTATCTGAAATTCAAGTAAGTATTCTTCACTGTATATGGTAAATATTCTCTATAAAAGACTTTTTGTTAGCTTCAATCATTTATAGCAAGAAAGATATAACTTTTTATTATCCTTTTAAAGATCTTTTTGATTGCTGTATTTTGATATATCCTCTGTAGTAAACTTCATTTATTGTGGTTGTTCATAACAAGAAAGACATAACTTTTTGTTATCCTTTTGATAATCTTTTCGATTATTGTGATTTTAATATTCTGTAACTAGGAATCTTTTTATAAGTTATACTTGTCTTTAATGAAGAAGTTATTATTAATTATATTTTTCTTTTGATGTCCTAATAAAAATAATCAACGTAAAACAGAAAACAATATAAATAAACTATGGTTCAAAACTAATGTTAGAAATTTCAAGGTCATTTTCTTTTTTTTGAAGTGACCTAAGTCACTTTGTATATAATCGTATGATAGGTTTTATAGTAAAATTATCACATGATTAGATCATTTTAAGGTCACTTCAAGGTCATTTGCTAATACTACTTAGAACTGAAAAAATTCTTTACAAAAAGTTTAAAATAAATGTAGAAGTAAAAAATATGAAAAAAAAATATAAGAATGAATATTCAATTTGAATTATACAATGGTATAAAGATTGGTAGTACTAGAAATAGCAAAAAAAAGAATCAGACACAATTAAAAAATATTAGTAATATATCTTTAAAATTCAACTGAAAGAGATTACTGATGGTTATGTAAACTTTATTAAGATTGTCAACAACGATTCTCTTTTGAAAAAGAATGTTAAAAATAAACGAACAGTTGAGGTTTATAATTAATTACTGTTTTAATCTAATTAGTATTATTTATGAACTGTTTTGTTTCCTTTGCTTTAAATAAAATTGAATAATGATTTAAGAAAGAAATCACGTAAACAGAATCTAATGGAAAAAGTGAATTTTATTTAATCATAGTTCATTATGATCCACTATATACAGTTGTATTAAAATTTCCTCCTTTAATACTTATCAGAAAAAGTATTTTTCCAGCAAATATAATAGGTAAGAATTGGATTCAGAACTGTTTCTTAAAGAGACAAATAGGGAATATGATGTTGAGAATAATGAGTATCCTTTTAATCATGATAAATAGACTTAAAAGTCTGATCTAGCAGTAATTGATCTTTTAAAAGTAGTGGTTAGCATAATAAGTTATTTGATAAGATAAGTTATAGATGTTATTATCAGTTTGTATTCATAACTTATTAATATTTCAAATCACGTTAGAATAGAAGTATGGGGTATCATCTGTTGTGAATTAAATATTGTGAAATTAAAATAGTGTAATAAAGAAAAATATGTTAAAATACAGAAGACAATCAAAAGACACAGCATTATCATTCCTTTAGAATTTGTTGTAAAATTGCTGAAAATGTATGCTTTGCCTTCATTTTCATCATATCGTTATGTGATTTATCAGTTTTTAGAATATGCAATTATAGAAGTTTCTCATGATCTTAGAGCAGGAACTGTACAAAATCAAAATAAAGAAGTTGATAAAGCAGAATGAAAATTTGAAAGAGATAAAACAATTAAGTCTAATATCAGCACTTCTAGATAAAACTCTGAACAATTCAGTTCAATTTAAATTATTAATCTTAAAAATGCCAATCTGAATCTGAACTGAACTGCAGACTGGTAAAAATCTGAACTGAACTAGAATTTTTAGATTAATCTAAAATTACAGTTTGATTATATAAGGAATCTACAATTTATATATGAAATTTTAGGAGAATTGTAAAAAATCATGAATTTATCTTTAAGGTTCGTGAAAATTTGCAAAATTTAATGAAAAATCGCAAAAATTTGTGATTCTCTAAAATTTTCGCATTTTTTTTGCGAAATTTAAAGAGAAATCTCAATTTTTTGCGATTTTTCAAGAATTTTGTGATATTTTTTGCGAAATACTAAGAGAAATTGCAAAAATTGCGATTCTTCAAGGTTTTCACAATTTTTTTGCAAAATTCAAAGAAAAATTGCAATTTTTTGTAATCTCTAAGAGTTTCACAATATTTTTATGAAATTCTAAGAGAAATTGCAAAAAATTGCAATTCTCTTAGATTTTCGTAATTTTTTTGTAAAATTTGAAGAGAAATCACAAAAAATTGCGATTCTCTAAAAGTTTCGCTAGATTTTTGCAATCCTTTTAGAGAATTCGCAAATTTTGCGATTATCTAAGAGTTTTACATATAATCAAACTAAATTTTCAGATTAATCTAAAATTATCAGTTCAGTTTAGATTTTTTTCAGTTCAGATTAGAATTATAATCTGAAAAAAATCTGAACTGAACCGAAAATTTTTAGATCAATTTTTATGTAATCTAAAATTGATCTGAATCAAACTAATCTGAAAAATCTTCAGATTAATCTTAACTATTCAGAGCTTTACCTTTAGATGCTATCATTTTTTGTTAAGATTTTGTCTCTGTTATAAATACTTATTTTTTTATTTGAATTCTTGTTAAATCACACACTGATTAACATGTTTATAATCATAATTTTATTATTTCACAGCAATCTATTATGCAACAAACTGAAATATCAGAAGCTTCTTAGAACTTATTATTAGAGAAGTCTATTTGCTTTATGATAGTATTTCAGGTGAGACTATTTTTCAAAATCTAAAAAGTTTCACTAAGAGAATTTTTCTATAATCAGAAACTATCTGAAACCTCTAAAACTAAATTTAAGATTTTTGCAGACAATTTGTCAAATTAATTTCGACTAAAATATTACTTTATGAACTTAAATATATTATTTTCACTTTTTATATATTTTATGATGTATAATAACAATATAATTTTTTTTTAGAAGAGAGATTGTTTTATTAACTATTAAATTCTGCTATAATTAACAAATGTGTAAATCTCTTGAGCAAAAAATAAATAGTAAATTTCTAGTACGCTTACAAAGATTATGTATTGAAATTGGGAATTTAGAAATGAGTGAGAATATGATTATCAAGAGATTTTACAATCTACTTAGAACAGATGCTGTAAAAGACTTTTAAGAGATATGTATATATTTAAAAAGATTGGCGAGAGATACCAGAAAGCAGTGATGTCTATTTTTAATATTTCAGAGATTTGTTATCCCAGCTATTTGTCTCAACCTGTCCTACACTATATTTAAATGTCCTATTTGTCCTATCTATGTTCCATCAGTATCTCATTAATGTCCTATGACAATACTACCAGAAAGTATCAAAATCATTTGCTAACACATGTCTATTTGTACATCTCATGATAAGTATTATTTGGATTTGTAATTTATTGATAACAAATAGTTTATCTATTTTGATTTTGTAAAGTATTTTTTAACTGTTTTTGTGAATGCTCTTATTGTACTTTATTTATTGACTTCTCTTTATATTGTTCAGAAAAGTTTGATCAATATGATCAAATAGGATGAAAATAATGATAGACTTCCTCTGTATTCGGTAAACTAAGGTTGGTTAAGTTAGTTCTAGGTTAATTCTGGTTCTAAGACTTATAAGTCCTATTAAACGAACTTACAAATCAGATCTGATTAGGTCTTTATATAATAAGTCCTAGGATTAGGTTCAAATAGGTCTTAGGATCAAGTCCGAATAGGTCCATAATATATTTATATAATATGATTCACTATAGTTGTATAATTAACTAATAAAATACTAGAAATATAATTAATATATATATAAGTTATAATGATAAAAAAATTACATTCTGTATCAATAAAAATAACATATAATACTACCATTTTACTTCACCATTTTATATGATATTGCAAGCTTAAATTGTGTTTTAATATTTTCAATTTTTGTTGCTTTTGATATCAATAAAAGCTTATTTTAAATTCCTTTTATTTCTTAATATTTATTTGTTTACTAATACTATTATCAATTCAACTTTTTATATATAATAATACAAAGTGTAAATAAAAGTTTTCAGATACTTTTTCACCAAATAAAAAACTTATAATTCTTTAGCATTAATAGTAAAAATTCTAATATTATTTTATTTAAAGCTGGTTAAGGCATATATTTTATATTAAACTTTAGTACTTAGTTGAATCTTCCTTTGTCACAATCACAGTCTGAATTTGCTGTAGCATACTATTGATTAAATTTTTAATAGTATGCATTAGAATTTCTCGCCATTTCTTTTTAACGTAGCAGTTGAGGTCAGCAAAATTCAATGGTGTTTTTTTTAATATCAGCCTATAAATTTTCAATTGGATTAAAATCAGAACATTAGGCTGGTCAAGTAAAATATGACTTTGTGTTGTTCTTTGATTAATTCTTTATTTTGTCCTATTATTTTTCGATTTAGTAGAGATTAAGTAAATTAAGTCAAAACAACAAAATCAACACAATTTTTTTATTTTGATTATATAAATAAACAATAGACAGTCATATAACCGCAGTATAGTATCACAATTATATGATAAAAATTTGTTAAATCACATTTATAAAGATGTCGAAAAACTTTAGTCCACCTTCTGTACTTTACAGTTTCTGAGTTTAATCAGTTTCAAGTCATGGTAATTGTGTTACTTGTAATAAAAAAAGCCTGTTCACATGCCACACTTATTATTTATATCACTAGATAATCCTAAGTTATTAATAAAAGTATTAGAAATTCATTAAAATAGGCTTATCACCAAAGAAAAGGATCTACATTTTCATCATTAAGTAAGGCTAAGTATCATTTTATTTCTATAAAATCAGAATTTATAATTGTTAAAATTTGTATTATTTTAGTTCTTAATCAATACTTTTTTAATTGATAAAAAAAGTCTTGTAGTAATATAGAATTTTCTTAAATGATTTGAGATTATAATTTTTGAGTGAAATATAAAAAAATTTATTTTTGAAAACATTATTTGTTGTTAGTTCACCTAATTCAAAAAAAAATACTTTATTTAAGGATCTAATATTGATGTAATAGTAGTTGCATTATTAAAAATTTCTTGATTTTTTGATTAATTGAATCGGCTAACATATATTGATAAAAATCATTTTTTTTACATAATAAATTAAATGGTCTTAAATTCTATTAAAATAAAATTGTATATCAGCTATTATTGGGTACATTGATCTTGAAAAATTTTAGTTGCTTTTTCAGGTTTTAAAATAATAAGTATTTTCTTTTATTTCTATAAAATTAGAATTTATAGTAGTTAGGTTTGTATTGTTTCAGTTTTTAATTGATACTTTTTAATTGATAAAAAAAGTCTCATAGTAATATAGAATTTTCTTAAATGATTTGAGATTGTGATTTTTAAGTGAAATATAAAGAAAATTATTTTTAAAAGTATTAATTGCTTTTGTTGTTGATTTACTTAATTCAAAAAAAAATACTTCATTTTGAGGATCTATATTGATGTAATAGTAGTTGCATTATCAAGAATTTCTTAATAATTCTTGATTTTTTGATTAATTGAATCAGCTAATATATATTAACAAAAATCAATTTTTTTCACATAATAAATTAAATAGTCTTAAATTCTATTAAAATAAAATTATATATTAGCAAGTATTAGGTATATTGATCTTGAGAAAATTTTAGTTGCTCTTTCAGATTCTAAACAATAAGTATTTTCTTTTGTTATAATTAAAAAAATATAATCTAAAAAAAGAAAAATACTAATAATATATTTTATTTACCTTTATTTTAATTTATATTATAACATTTGACATTAAATCTCATACTTTAAAGCATTTTTAATGCTATTTTTATTTTTAGAATTTGTGAAGCATATAATAGATAAAGTTTTATCTTATTTCAATATTTATTTTAGGTTGTAAATTCTTGAGTTTTTTTATAACTACATAAATCATCACATAATAGAACAGAATTTTTAACCTTTCTTATTAATGTATTAATGTTTGTATAATTTAAATATCTTTATTAATTATCTCTATTTCTTATTTAACTGCAAAATTAGATATATGAGCTTATTTTATTTGTTAAGTTAAATTTATTGAGAACATTATTAATTCTATTTACTATATTAACTCTGTATAGTGAATTCTGAAAGAAAATGATATCAAATAAAAATCATTGAAATACCTAATTTTGGTTAATATAATAGATTATAATCCAGATATTCTTTATTGCTTATTATTAATATCTACATGTCTGCTGTAAAGATACTTTTTCTGATATCTTATATAAATTATATTTAATTTTTAAATATCAGTTATTAAATTCTATAATGGTTAATTTTTTTATTTGATACATATTTGAAACTTTATAACAGAAATCAAAAGTATTTATTATTTTGATAAATTTTTTATTTTCAATAATACAAAATGGTTGCTAGTTAGAAATAATTTAGTTAATAATTACTTTATCTTGTTCAGATTTTTCTTTTATAGGTTAAGAAGTTATATATTAAAAATTTAAAATTGACTGTTTATTTTGACTTTTTGGTATTGTCATACTATATGAATCTATTAAAAAATGTAACGTATTAGTGAAAGTTGTGAATGACGGTGCTCCAATGTTGTTAAAGCGATTTGAATGAGCCTCCTATTCTTCTCCTTTTCTATCAATAATAAATATTTAAACGGGATTTTTAAAATCTTACAAAATATATAGTTTTACATATGATTATGATTTAAAAAATATTATACTCTAATCACCAAAGCGAATTTGGAAATATTTTTTACTACTTTATATAGTATAAAAAAAAAAGTCACAAGATATAGTAAATCATATGATACGCAGTCAAATTGTAAAGTTATTAGTTAGAGTATTATGATCTATGTGGGTTTACTAATTTACCCTCACGCTATGATAATTGAGATTAGTTAGGGTTAGGGTTAGGGTTAGGTGTTAGGTGATTTGACACCGGTGTGACTAATCAATTATACCAGCCAATCATAGCGTGGACTCAGACTTAATTACAATTTCTGTTCTATATATTAATTATTATTACTTATAAATATATTTCAAAATAATTAATAAATAACTTATATATCATATAATTCTAGATTTTTTTGCAGATTAATTTTATTATTGTGATAATTATAATAATAATTATATTGTTAAATCTAATAAATTTTTTTAGATTTGATAAATATAATATATTAAACTATTTTACTAAGAATTTTTAATAAATATAATACATTATAATTAGATTAATAATTAATAAAATATTGTAAAAAAAAATTTACTATTTAAGCTGATATAATATAATTATATTATACTAGCTTAAATAGTTTAAGATATTATAGTATACAGTATCTTTACAATAGAAAAGTAAAAAATTATCAAAAAAAAAATAAATTAATTAATGTTAAATTTAAATAAATTTGATTTAAAAATTATATTTAGCATACAAAAGTAAAATTAATTTTTTTAATGGTTTTTTCTTTATTTTTATATAATCATCTTCTATATAAACATATTTTTATAAACATCTGATTTTGTGAAATAAATTTAAACAATAATAAATTATCTTTATATTAATTATAACACTTACTTTATAATTCTTACTTTTTTTTAATAATGTAATACTCTCATAAGTTTTATTAAATTTAAGTTGAAATTATATAATTATTTATAAAA